CCGTGGACACCGCTCAGCCCCGCAGCAGGCGCATTGGCTGCTGGATCTCAGGGGGCCAGCAGCCCCACTCGGGGGTGAGGGGTTCCAGCAGCCACCTAAGCGAAAGCTCATGGGACAGCACGCCCCAGGCTTAGGGTCACAGGATGGTCACTCAGAGAATAAAAGAGGCTCTAAAAGGTCACGCAACAACCACCCTGGGGGCAGGGGGCAGGCTTCGAAGAGGCCGACCCCAGAAAGCAGGGCAGGAAGGAGCAGGGAGCATGACCCCTGGGGGGTCCAGTGCACATGCAGCCCCCAGCAGGTGGCCCGACAGTGTGCTGGGCTCACAGGGGCACTGGGAGGGCGGTGTCCACCAGGGGAACAGATGACCTGTGTCAGAGCCACAGCCACAGAACTGATGGCCACCCCGCCAGGAGCATCCTCACGCCGAGGAGGTGTGTGTGACAGAACAGACGCAGTCCTGGCGTCCTGGGGAAGAGACAGGGACGGCAGAGTCCAGGATGGATGGGGGCCACTCAGGGCCACCAGTGTGCCCGCGGTGGGGGTGGCGCGTCCCTACAGGGAAGCTCTGCGGTTCACCAGCCATAGGACAGCGTGAGAGACCCCTGCCCTGTGTCCTTCACACCACTCCCCTCAAACACAGAGGTTTTCCAGTGGCTTCTTTAGACCTGGCCACGCAGCCAGGGCAGCTCTGGTCCTGCCTCTTTCCACTGTCTTCAGAACCCAAGGGTTACCTGCAAAAGAAGACAGCCCCTGCCCCTTGACATAAACGCTCACGCGGCCGCTCAGGCAGCCCCCGGGGGCCTGGGAAGCAGAAATGAGGAACAGGGAGGACCTGCTCTGTCCCGGCCAGGCTGTAGGGGGACAGAGGGCTGAGGGCCCGGGGAAGGGCAGCGGCACCAGTCCCGCCTTCGGAAGCAGAGCCCAGTGGTACCGGGGACGACACAGAGTCGTCTTTGGAAAGGCCCCCTCCTCTGCACAGTGGAAAACCCTTTGGGAAGTGGTGTTTGCAGATCACATAACTAGTAAGTGGCTAACATCCCAAATATATGAAGAACTCACGAAATTCAATAGCAAAAACAATCAGCTCTAAACAGCAAACTTGAGCAGCAGTTTTCCAAAGACGACGCAGAGATGGCCGATGCACACGTGCCGGTCAGAAAGGTACAGGCCAAGGCTGCCACGGGGAACCCCTCAAACTGGTCGGAGTGGCCCCGTGGGCAGACCCACCAGCCAGGATCGGCGAGGGTGGGGAGAAGGGGCCCCGTGCACTGCTGGTGGGCCTGTAAACTGGTGCGGCCCCTGGGGGGCTGCGTGGAGGTCCCTCAAAAAGTTAGAATGGAACTGCCCTCTGGCCCGGCGACACCCGGCTCCTGAGAACCTACCTGAAGGAAACAAAAGCGTGCACTGGAAACTGCGCAGGCCCCGCATCGCAAAAGCGAAGCTGCGGTGGGAACCTGGGCTTCTGCCCAGTGGCAAGCGCCTGGACTGGAAGGGGCGGCCGCACCACAGACCCACAGTGGCAGGGCCCCCGGCCATAGGAAAGGACGGAACCTCACCGTTCAACCACATGATGGACCTCGGGGGCACCGTGCTGGGTGACGTCAGTCGGCAGAGAAAGGCAAGTCCCCGCACGACTGTCTGTGACTGGAACCCACAACACTGCACGGACACACAGGTTCCGGAGGCGGACGGACGGGTGCCAGAGGTGGGGTGGGGGTGGGGGAGAGATGTGTGAAGAGGGTCAAAGGTAAATAAATAACCCTGTTTTCCTGACAAAGCATTTTAAAATCCACTTTATAAATTTTCTGTGCTGACGAGCAGTGGTGCACAAAAGCTGCCGTGACCGGGGTGTGGCTCCGCGGGCGTCACCTCATGGAGGGAAGGCTCCCGGTTTGATCCCTGTCGGGGCACCTGCCTGGGTGGTGGGTTCGGTCCTGGTTGGGTAGTGCAAGAGGCAGCCCAGCCATGTTTCTCTCCCGGTCTCTCTCCTTTCCTTCCCTCTCTCTAAAAAATTGACAGGGAAGTATATTTTAAATGAAAGGCTCCTCGTTCCCAGCTCTGAGCACCTTCCAGCATCCCCATCACAGCACTCTGGCAAAGGCACAGCACGGTCTGCCCGGGCTCCCGGGGCAGAGGGCCGGTGCGCACAAGACCACATAAAGGGAAATGCGGGGACATGCAGCCTGTGGTGACGGAGAAAGGCCCGGGGCAGCGCCACCCCGGGTGCTCCCTGAGTCTCACGTGACGGCCAAGGTTGCAGCTTAGACACTTTTCCCTGAAGAGGACACAGCAAAGAAACAGGGGTTTTAGCACCAGCTTCCCAATGCACTGGAACTGTGACCTTCAACAACTCTACTCATCCGTCAGTATGTTTTTCCCACCTTCAAAATGGGAACAGAAGTACTAACTTGCAAGTTTGGGGTGGGAAATAGAAACGTCACTCTGGATTGGTTCCACAAAAGTGGTCCCTGCCTTGCACACGGTGCGTTTCCACGCGTGTGGCAGTGACGGGGGCGCTTAGGAGGCTCGGCAGGCAGACCTGCTCCCTGATGCACCCTGGGCTCTGGTGGCCGACGGCTCACTCCAGGAGGCTCGGGTCCTGTGACTCGGGCACAGGACCACAGCGGCCGCACATCCTGTGACTTCAGTCACTGGGCCAGGGGGAGGGCGTGAGGACAGCTGGCCCCCTGCCACGACGGATGGAAAATACCCGCTGTCTGTCGCTCCTAGCGAGGCCCACGCTCACAGTGTGGAGTGGGCAGGAAGGCGGGCCTGCCAAGAGAAAACGCGAGGTGTGGCCGGGATGCAGAGCGCACGGCAGCGCCTGCGCGGGGAGAGGCCAGAACAGAGGCCTGTCCCAGGCAAGCCTGGGCCATCGGGGCCGTGACACTGACTGCACGACAGGAAAGGCAACAGCTGGGGAGTCACACTTTCCAGATATGGGCAAGGTTGGCAAACTCCTCACCGGGTGACTGAGAAGGGCGTGCTCTGGAACTTGGGCATCTACAGCACCCCCACACCCCCGCACCTCCCGGGAGACATGCTACAGGCGGGCAAGAGGCCCCGAGATGCTCGCTGCAGGGCTGCATATGAGGCTGAACACTTTGCAGCCACTGCCCACACAGCACAGCCAGCCCCTGAATCAGGAGGGGCCAACTGGTATCCAGTGGCCATTCAATCCACAGGTGGCAACTCACTAGCACTTCTATGGGATACCAGGTCCCAAAGCATCTCCCAAACAATCTTCAGACACGAGCAGACACATCTCTGCACATTTCTTCCGAGTCTATGGATGCTGATGTCGCCACTGGAGACCACCACAGTAAGCAGAACCCCCATGGTCCTCACACCCCCTCCCAGTGGCCCAGTTTGTGGCAGCCCACACCCTGTGGCTGACAAATAGTAACAGAAAAAGCCCCAATCCTCATCCGTGGCCTGCACACCACCATCATGGGCCCAAACAACGCAACCTCCTCGAAAAGGAAAATCTTAAAAGCATGGTTTTGAACCGTGCAGAAGTTCCTTTGAATGATTCTGGAACATAAACTTATTTCCACAAATACATATTTTTAGCCTTTATACTAACTTTCTGTAACACTCATTTTTTTAGAAAGATTTTACTTATTTTTTAGAGACGGGAAAGGAGGGAGAAAGAGAGAGAGAGAAACATCAATCAGCTGCCTCTCATGTGCCCCCAACCAGGAACCTGGCTCCCAACCCAGGTGTGTGCCCTGACCAGGAATTGAACCAGTGACCTGTTGGTTTGTGGGGACAACACCCTATATCCCTTCAGTGAACTGTGCCTCTTGCCAGAAGTTTCCTGCTCAGTTCTAGAACAGTCCCTGGCACCTAGTAGGAGCTCAGCCACAGTGTTCCAGGACCTCCAAGTCTCCAGGGGTCATCACGTGGTCCGTGAGAGGGTGGCGCCTCCCTCCTGCATCCCGAGCAGGACAGCCGGACCCAGCAGTGCTGTCTCTCAGCCCGGTGGACACCCCATCCCTCTCTCCCTCCCACTGTCTGCTTTGCACCCTGAGCAAATTACATCCTCAGAGCTTGGCTCAGTGGCCACCCCCCTGTTGCAGCTTCTGGCGCCCACGGGAAGAGAAGCCCAACACCCGCCTTCCTGCATCTTTCCAGAGTCCGGCGGCACAAACGGGGCGCTGGCATCTCCCCGGCAGCTTCTCCCTGCTCCGTGGTCAGACCTCCGACAAGCCCCACCGCCTGGGCCTCCTAGGGCTGTTGCCACACGGCACCCGGTGCTGTGACAGGGCTGTCTCTCCCATGGGCTTTCAGGGAGCAGAGGCCACATCTAATTCCCCGGTCCTCCAAGGCTTACCCCAGGGATCAGAGGCCAGCACAGTCTGTCCTTTAGCCGGACACGAACGGGCACTGACCAAAAAAAGCATGAAGCACGCTTTCCCGCGTACGCCATGGGCTTTGGGTCTCTTACAAGTGAGCAGAGAACCTCAGAAAGGTGAAGGGCTGGACCAAGGTCACGGAGCACGCAGGCGGAGCAGTACCCCTGGGACCTTCAGGTCCTGATTCCTCAAACACGCAAAAGCCAAACCGCATGAAGAGCACGAACTCTTCCCACAGAGGCGCATGCCCCCACCCCTGACCCCACTGAGGAAGACCATAGGACAGCTCGGCCCCGAAGCCTGGCGGCGAGGCTGGGACACACACCCCCTCAGGTCCCGACTGGGCTAAGGAACTCGTCGCGCTGCGCAGCAGCAGCGCGGCGAGAGCACGTGACGGAGGGCAGAGGTGAGTTCTGGACAGGGAGGTCAGGGAAAGCCGGCCACAGGTGCGGGCTATTGGGGTGGAGATGCTGGGGACCATCAGGGGGGCCGGGCTGGGGCAGGGCGGCGCCGGTCCCACCGTCACCCCCCTCCATCCAGAGCTCCCACCGACGTGGCCACGCCCCCGCGATCCTGGCCGGACCCCGGGCGACTGCCGCCACTCACCAGAAGAAGGTGTTGGTGCCGTCGTCGTAGACCTCGGACTCGGTGCTGCGGCGGGCCACGGGCGCACCGTCCGGCGGCTCCTCCAGCGAGGCCTTGCCCGTAGGTACAGGCGACCCGGGCCGCTGCCCCGCAGCGCCCCTGCGCTCTCCCCGCCGCATGGCGCCTCGGCCCCAAGCTGCTCCGCCCCGCGCCTTAACCTCACGCACAACCGGTCACCGCGAGCGCGCGGCGCTACTCGGCAGGGTCTCTTGAGAACAGGGGCTGGGGGCGGCTAAGAAAGGGGGGGCGATGCATTGTGGGACGTGTAGTCCGCGCTCCTGGGCCGCGGGGCACGCTGGACATCGTAGTCTCGGACCTCACAGATTTGAAGCGGTGCTTGCTGGGAAGGATGCCGCCCAGTTGCTAGGTAACCGGAGCCGGCGTGTGAAGTGGAGCGGAGTGGTTCCACAGGTACCTGACTCAGGAGCCATTCCAGACCCACCTCCCGGGGCTTCCTGACCCGAGTGCAGCCCCAGCCCCGCCCGCGCTTTTCTGGAGCGCCTTCCTAGTGGACCCGCTGCCCTAGCCGCATGACTCCTCAGCTGTTGCCTTTTCGGTCGTGCGCTCTGCATCCCGGCCACACCTCGTGTTTTCTCTTGGCAGGCCCGCCTCCCTGCCCACTCCACACTGTGAGCGTGGGCCTCGCTAGGAGCGACAGACGGCGGTATTTTCCATCCGTCGTGGCAGGGGGCCAGCTGTCCTCACGCCCTCCCCCTGGCCCAGTGACTGAAGTCACAGGATGTGCGGCCGCTGTGGTCCTGTGCCCGAGTCACAGGACCCAAGCCTCCCGGAGTGAGCCGTCGGCCACCAGAAGCCGCCAGGAGTCGCAGACTCCAGCCGACAGGGCGGTCTGGCGGCCGGCAGTCGTTCTCCAGCGGGAGCTCCCGGGACACTGGCCCAGGAGAAGAGCGCAGACCTGCGTACGTGGGGGACTCGGTGGCGGGCCCCGCAGAAAGGCGGCCCTGCGCCGCGCTGAGAAACAGCCTGAAGGCGCCGCCTAGCGCAGTTACCACGTGACCAGCGCCCCCGCCCCCACCCCCACCCCGGGGGGTGTGCCCAGAGGGAGGAAAACGCACGGCGGACCTCAGGCTTGCACGCGCCTAGCACGGTTGACCTCAGGAAGAAAGCAGCTAGTTATTTCAGCAGCAATGGGGCTTTATTCAGGGATCGCGGAGGATTGCAGCGAAAACCATAGGCGAGTCCAGCAGACCGAGAGAGACGTTACCTGCTGGGGAAAAAGGGAGCTGGGAATGGAAGTCCATGGCAGGAAAGCGCGTGTGCGGGGCAGCGCTGGCCGCCCCCTGGCCACCGTGTCACGGTGTCTGTTCGGCTTGTTGGGCGAGGAGGAAGCCTTCCCCCGGCCGGGGTAGTAGAGACGCATCTTGCTCCTGTCGGGCCTGTAAGTGACGCCTCTTCCCGTTGGGGTGTATGGAAGTGACCGGTTATGGTGAGCGGGCCTGCCGCTCCATTGAAACCAGGTTGCTTTTATTCGCTTTCGCAGCAGCAGTATTCATGGCAGCCCAAAACAGGGACTGGGGCTGACCACCACCCGAGTGAGCACACGAAAGTGTGTGTTCATGCCCTGGGAAGTTCTTTGGCCACAAAAGGAAGTGGCGACACAGGCTACAACACGGGCGAACGTGGAAAACACTGGGCTAAGTGGAAGGAGCCGGTCACAAAAGACTGCACAGGCTACGATCCATTCATGCAAAGTGTCCAGAATAGGCAAATGCGTGCAGCCAGTAAGTGCACGAGTGGTGGCCAGGGCCTGGGGAAGGGACGCGGGGAGCGACTGCCAGAGGGCCCCGGGTTTCTTTTCAGGGCCGGGTGTTCTAAAACAGGCTGCCAAGGGGGCACATATCTGTGAATACACTTGAAACTCATGGACTGTGCACTCTAAATGGTAGATTGCATGCGTGGTATGTGAATTACACATCAGTCAAGCTGTTAAAACATGCATGTGCAAAAATGTTTGCAGGGACTCCCCATCTGTCCAGCATGAGGTCTGGCTGTGATCGGGCCTGAGTCCCAGCCTCTGACCACTATGTGGGGCTCTGGGCAGAGGCCAGGAAACACGGGCTCCAAGAGGTGTGTGGTGGGGCCTTCCGGGGCCTGCCGCTGCCCTCTACCCACCCTGGGGCCCATTTTCTGCCACGCTCCTAGGGTTGCCAGGGTGGTCCAGAGTGGCCCGGCAGCCAGTCTCCAGCGTGTGCATAAGGGAGTGGCAGCGAGGTTGCAGAGCATAGACAGAGGTGGACCGCGGGGCCCATCCTGAGGGCCACGGGGAATCACGATCAGGTCGGCGTCAGCGGGCTGCCCTGTGGGGAACCCCCATGGCACCGGCCTTGTGCGAATTGACGCATTGGAACCTGCTTTGTCCCGGGAAGTGACCCACGAGCAACAAGTGCCCAGAGCAAGCCAGCTCTCGGTCACCAGGTCTTTGCAGGAATGTCCCTGCGGGCCTGAACCATCCCTTCAGGGCCCCTCTGCTCCCACCCCAGCTCTGAGCGCTCAGGTTCCGGGCGGACTAGGCGCAGTTAGGATCCATTCCTGGCTGTGGGTCTTTCTGCCAAACCACCCAGTGCCCTCCTACCAAGGCAAAGAGGGGGCAAGGCGGCCTCTTCAGGGCCCAGAGACCCGGCAGGGCGACCTCCGGGCCCAGCCCGCGTGTCTGGAGCGCCTGGGGTTTACGTCGTGCCGTCATAGGGGCGGGGCCTGAATGAGACTGGGCGGGGGCGTCCCGTTGTGGGCGTGACCTGGGTGGGCAGGCGTAGGGTGGAAGGGACCAACCGGGATCACCGCCTGGTACCCTGTGACTGTTGCGCTGACCCCGTGTTAATCAATCGCCTTGGAGCTCCGGCCTTGTGCCTGCGAGAGTCCCCAAGGCTTTACAAATGTCAACTATAATATCTTCACACCTCCTTAAGAGGATATTGTGGGGGTGTGAAGATATTTAGAGACAGGAAGGATGGTGATCCCCGTGCCCAGCTCCTTCTCCCCTCCCGGATCCTTGAGCCTCTCTCCAGAACCACCCTCCACCCCCACATTTCCGCACCGGTCCCTTCGCACTCCAGCTGCAGCTTTGCGTTTGGGGCCTGATATCCAGGTCTCACCTCCTCCGGGCCCCTGTCCTGACCCTACCCTTCACCCTGGCTGCAACCCTGCTCACCTCTACCCTTCAGACACGCGTGGGCGGGCAGGGTCCATTGCAGGATTTGGAGACTGGCGAAGGGGAGTGGTGTGGGCGCTGGAAGGCCTGTGGTTTTGACTCAAGTGGTCGGGTGGCAGGTGAGAGGAGTTAGCAGAGAACTTTGAGGATGCCGAATGTGACTTGTGTGGAGGTCTGCCAGCGGGGAGGGCTGTCCACACAACAGGCCCTAGGGGTCCCCGCCTGGGGGAGGCTGCAAAGGCCCTGACCTTCCTCCGCAGAGGGGAGGAGCGTCAGAAGCCCAAGGGCGCCAGAGGGAGGCAAGGGCTCTAAAGGTGTTTGATTCTGGCCTTACTCAGGGTCAAGCTCACGTGGACAAGACCTGGCCCCAGATCTCAAGGTTTCCTTAGGCCTGCAGGACACATTCATGGTGATAAATAGTGGAAATGCTTTCTAAATATATCGGGAAATCTGCAAATCTGTGCCTGCTATTTTCACTGCTTTGGTAAGTGTGTAAAAGTGAATGTATCACGAGAAACTCCACCCACCACAGGCACACCTGCCATCTGGGCCTTTGCTCAAAGTTGACAGAGGACTGGGGACAGCAGGCTTGTCACATCGGCCAGGACAGCTCTCTGCTCCCTAAGACAGGAAACAGGAACTGGCGAGAATTTAAGGCTGGGGGGAGCAACAGAGAGACAGAAGTGTTTTTCAGGTGTGCACTTCAGTGGCCAGGTCCCACCCAGATGCCACCCTGGTGTGACAGGCAAGGACCAGTTTCCTGCAGACCTGAGGAGCAGAGGCCCAGCTGGGAGAGGGGTTTCCCCTGCAGGGGCCTGCAGCCAAAGAGGTGGGGGTGGGGTGCCTGGGACGAGCCCAGAGATGACTCAGGAAGCCCCATCGCCCATGCAGGCCCCTGGGGCTGGGTCGACAGGGGCGCACGCTCCTGCAGGCTTGGTCACCCTGATCTCCTCTGTGGGGTGGCCTCTGCCCTCAGTGGGGAGGGTCTGAGATGCCCTGGGGAAGTGGAAGGGGAGACTGCTCTAGGCGGGCAGGGCTCTCTGGAGTTGGAGGAGGAAGAGGAGGGAGCAGGGTCCAGGGTCCACAGGGAAGAGCTGGGAAGCCACGTGGGCTGCGACTGAAGACCGAAGTTCTCTGCCACAGAGAGGGCAGGGTCAGCCCTGCCCATAGCCAGGCAGCTGGGGCCACCTGCCTTTGTGGGGCTGCCCGCACCGCAGGGTGGCTTCTTCACGGGACACACTCACGACAGTAAAATAAATTTAATAATAAAGTTTATAAAAGTGCCTTTTATAATGTGAAAAAAGCAAACTAAAGGAAGGACAGCATCATCTCACCGTCCGTAGTTCCCCTGAAGCCAGCATGAATAGCCCAGACTCAATCTCCTCCTCCAGTGCATTTTAACTCAGGCGAGATTAACACGGATATGTGTTTGCAACCTGTTTTTCCGCTGAGCATGGAGCCAGCACTTCCCGTGTTCTCATACAGTCAGAAAGCGTTCTGGGGCTGCTCACTCAGACGCTTCCCCTGGGTCGGCCGTCGGCGTGGCTCACAGTCTTCACCTCCAAGGACGTATTCGTACATATATGCATTATTCTGGAACTTTTCCTTAGGGCAGTTTACAAAAAGTTAAATAAACGGACCAACGCGTGAACAGTTTTAAGGCTTTTGATCCTTACTGCTAAGCTGCTATCCAAAAGGGCTTGTCCTGTTTCTCTGCAGAGGGGACTAGAGGAGACCTGCTCTTTTTTCATTCCTCCTCCGTGGGGTCCAGCCTGTGAGCCCCGCCCCGCCCCCTGCGCCCCAGGTCCGAGAGGCCCCAGGAGCTGACTCCCGAGCACCCCACCCCTGGAAGGGGTGCCTGCAGCGGTGCGGTTGGGCATGAAGAGCAGGATGCGGGATGTGGAGCGGGAGGGCGGCTGTGCAGACGCGTGGAGCCGAGTCAGCCGTGCTAGTGAGCTGTTTCCGCAGAGCGAACGCACAGCCGCACCCAGGCCCAGCCGGAGCCTGGGGGGAGTCGGAGAACCCAGGAGCTGGAGTGCAGCATGGACCCGGAGTTCCCACGAGCTCCAGACCCCTGCTGCTCCAGAACCCTGCACTTGAACTCCGCACAGGAGGCCCGCTGGCCCGAGGCAGAGACTGCGGCTGCCCCCGTGCCCTGCTGCCTTCCATCTCGGGAGAAGTGGTCCCACGTCTCCGGCTTCCACGCAGTGAGGTGTGGCCAGGTGACGAATCCCGTGGAGGGAGTGCCTCTCCTTCCTTTTCCTGCCGCCTCAAGTGTGGACATGACACCCGGAGCCGGGGCAGCCAGTTGGAGCCAGGGGGTGGCACCCATTTTTAAAGTGGCAAAGCAGCAGTCGGTAGGGAGTAATGGACTGGGTGCCTGCAGATGCTTCTCCCAGCCACTGCAGGGGGTTTCTGTGGCCACAAGGCACGGTGGGCGTGCCTTCGGAGCCGCACCTCTGCTGCCCCTCCCCTCCCTCGTCTGTGCCACCTCACAGCCTCACAGAAGTCGGTCCCCGCCTGGCTGCTGCCACGGCCGGCCATGAGTCCCCCAAGCAGAAATGTGGGTGGTGGGGACATGTCGTCCTGGGGAACCCAAAGCAAGCATGTCAGCCCCAGCTCTGAACCACAGGGCTGCACGGGCTGCGTGATGAGAACGCACCCCAGCGCTCCGGGCGCCCCCCGCTCCCACCGTGTCCTAGGAGCCCCCTGTGACACTGGGTGCACCCGGCTCCTTCCAGCTGCCCCCAGGCTGTTCAGAGCCCCCAGGTGTCCTCAGCTTTCAGAGCCCACCTCCCCACTGGGGCAGCCGGCAGCCCCAGGGCCTTCCCCAGGGCCCTGGGCGCCCGCGGGACATGGCACCCGAGCCCTCAGGACACCGAGAGCTCCTCCCCCCCAGCGGGCTTCCACACAGCAGGGGCTCTGGGTGGGACACACGCCATTTCTCTCGGGGACCGGTCTCACCCTCCCCATCCTCTGTGCCCCAGTTTCTCCTCTGAGGGAACCCACTCTGGACCTGGTGGGTGGGGGGTCGGGTGCTGGAGGGGACCCGGGATCAGGAACAGTGAAGGGCAGCAGGGGAGCTGGGGCACTGGGGAGTGCCCCTGTGCCGCCCCCACCCCCGCCCTGTCCCCCGTGAGGGGGCGTCAATTTAACCCCATCTTATAGGTGAAACCTCTGCAGGTGAGAGCAGGTGAGAGGGAGGGGACTAGGGGAGGGGTGCACCCTCTGCCTCCGTGCTCCTGGCTCCGCCCCACTGCCACCGGCCAGGTGGAGGGACCAACCAGGGAGCAGGCAGGAGGCCGGGGGAGGAGGGAGGTGAGTCCCACGCGGAAGTCAGGTACCGCCCGGCGACCCTGCAGCACTGCCGGTGCAGGAGGCCTCCGCTGGCTGGACTCTGGGGCACCTCGGGTCGCCACCATGCCGGTGAGTCGGTGCTGCGTGGGGCCCACACCAGCGACCCCTCTAGCCAGCCCCTTCAGCCCCGCCTGGAAAGTCCCCGAGGGTTCCTGGAGTGGGCAGAGGAACCCAGAGAGTCCTGGCAGGGGCCTGGCTTTCCATCCTTGGGGCGGGACAGAGGAGGGGAGTGGCCCCGGGTCTGGCGACTCCAGGGTGGGGGTCTCAGTGAGTGGGGGCTTGAGTCGGGCAGGCAGGTCCACCCCCAGTCCCCGAGTCAGGGCGAGCTGCTCTGCCCTGCAGCGGGACCAAGGAGGCAGGCTGGGGCGGGCGGTGTTGGCCTCCGGGGTGGGCTGACCTTGGGCTGGGGAGGCCCAGGGTAGCCGGCTGCGCCCTCTCTGCCCCCTGGGGGTCCTGCCCCAGGCACAGTGGATTCTGATTTGGGGAACAGAGCAGGAGGCTCTGAGGGACCCTGGGAAGGCGGGTGGGAGAAGAGCCCAGGAAGACACATCTCTTCCCTGGAACCAGGGAGAGGCCACAGGGCAGGGCCGGTACCTGGGCTGCCAGGAAGAGACCCACGCGAGGTGGAGAGCGAAACCAGCCTCCCACTGGGCCACCCGGGCCCTCCCAGGTGTGGGCCCCGAGGTAGCCTGCAGCTCCACCTCTGCCGTGGCGGGGTCGGGGGTGGCTCCTCAGCCCTTCCAAAGCCAGCCCTGGCATCCTGGCATCCCTCAGCCGGACCCCAAGCCCCCGGCTGGCCCCCTCCTCTCATGCGGTCAGCTGGTCAAGTCAGGTGGGTCTGTGCTGGGGCGGAGGAGAGGCTTGGGGCTGTCTTAGGGTGGGCGGGAAGGCCGCGCCTGGCTTGGCTGAGGTGAGAGCAACCACCTTGGAAGGACGGGTTCAGGTGCCGACAGCCAGACTCGGCCTCCGGCCGGGTGTGAGCATGTCCCTCCCCGCTGCTCCCTGTTGCCCCCCCCCCGGCCGCCAGCCCCCCGCACAGCCCCTGCAGTCTGCCTTCCGCCAGCCCCCAGCCTCGCCTTCTTGCTCTTTATGCTTCTCAAGTGCTCAGGACCGAGGCCCCAGTGGGGAGTGACCACCGAGCCTCAGCAGCACAGAGGTCGCTAGGAGTGTGGCTTCGGGGTCCTCGGAGGTGCTGAGGGCCGAGTCCCCAGGCCCTGGTCGCACCTGCTCCTCGGGGCCTGGCCACACACCTTTCCCTCTCCCAGAAGCCGCTCCCGTTTTTTCGCAACCTCTTGCCCCAGAAGGCCAAGCTCCAGGCCACCTACCCTGCCCTCCGGACCCTGGTGTCCACTTGCACTGCCCTCAAGGGCTGCGCACAGGGCCGGCCGCCACATCGGTGAGGGTGGGCGGATGGCCGGCACACAGAAGAGGGAGCTGACAGATGACACAGACAGAGGGACGGAGGGATGGCCGGAGGGCCGGCACGCTGCCCCGGGGGCTGAGCAGGCGGGCCAGGTGGGGCACTGGCGCAGGAAGGGCGGTCAGAGGGGATCGGGCTGGGCCAGTCAAGGTGGAGCACACCTTCGTGGGGCAGGCCTGTCCCCTTGCTGAACGGTGACACTGTACCCAGCTTTCGAGGCTGAGCTAGGAGGGCCCGGGTGAGAGGTGACCCTCGGGAGCAGGGAGGGGTCCACAGGTGCCTGTCTGCAGCTGGGGCAGTATCACAGGTGTCACCACTCCAAGCAGCTGCCGCGCCAGGCTGGGCGGTGGTCGCTTCTGCACAGCTGTGTTCCTGGTCCGGCTGGCGACCTGGAGCCAGACTGGAAGGGATGGACAGAGGGAACTTGGTCCGCTCCGACTCTCGAGGTCCTGGCCGTGAGTAGGGAGGTCCCCCAGAGCTGCAAAGTCTCAGGAAGTCCCCTCGCTGGGAGCTGGTGGGTGAGCCCATAGGGGTGGGGTTGGAAGGGATGGAAAAACCCTCAGGGACAGACCCTAGAGCCGGGTGTCCAGAGGCCACGAACTGGATGTTGGTGACACACATGTCCCCGACCTCTCTGGTCAAGACTTTACTCTGGTTTCTGAGACAGCGGTGCCTCGGTCCTGCTCCTTCCTGATTCCCTGTCTGTGAAAGGCAGGCTTCTCCTCTGGCCCAAGACGAGGGAGCAGTTTCAGGTCCTGCAAGCCACACCTGAGTGCAGGTGTCCGTGGGCCACTGGTGGGCGGGCAGGGAGTGCCCAGGAGCCGAGGGGGGAGGGAGGCCAGGTAGGGAGAGAGCAGATGCTGGAGGAAAGGGGGAGAGAGGGCCAGGGCGGGCCCCGCGGGCCAGGCACGACAGGCCCAGTGCCCAGGCCGGCATCGGCCCCATCTCTGAGGGACCACGGCATCCGGTCCTGGCTCCTGTGGCTAAACACTGCACATAAACAATTTTTGAAAGGTTTTATTTATTTATTTTTAGAGAGAAGGGAGGGAGGGGGGAGCAAGAGATGGAGAGAAACGTCGCCTCCTGCCTGCCCCCAATCAGGGACTCGGCCGGAACCCAGGCCTGCACCCTGACCGGGAATTGAACCAGCGACCCTTCAGTTCGCAGGCCAGAGCTCAATCCAGTGAGCCACACTGGCCAGGGCACAATTTTTGTTAGTATAATTATGTCCCACGGTAACAGTTGGGACATACCTACATGAAAAAGGATTTTGTGTATCTGAAATTCAAATGTGACTGGTAGTCCCAGAGGCCGGACCGGCTGGAGCAGTCCAGTCGGGCTTTCTGGAAGTGGCGTAATTGGGTCTGGCAGAAATGTGGTTGGAGAAGGGGCAAGCTAGCAGGCAGGGGACCAGCAGGGCCAAAGCGTTGGGCTTGGGCGACTGGAGTAGGGTGTGAGGCCATGAGCCGGAAGAGGGGCCAGCAAACCCCAGGGGCAGGAGGCCCGGGCAGAAGTCAGGGCCATGGCGGGAGGTGCCCAGGCCCGCCAGCAGTTGGCCTGAGGTGGGTTCTCCTGTGGACGCAGCCCCGGGTCCCTCTGGGATCCTTTGTATCCTTGGGGTGCAGCCTGGGGTCCTGGTTACACCCACTCCCAGTGTGCTCAGGTCATGCTGCGGGGACGGGATGCTTTGTGTCTGACGTAAAGCCCAGAGGGGCATCAGGGACAAGACAGAGGAAGTGGCTGATCTCACCCGAGGGTGCACAGTGTTGGGCCCCCTGGCTCTCAGCTCCAAAGCCAGGGTCCTCTCCCTGCAGGTCAGCCCAGGGCCCCCTCACGTGACCTGCTCTGAGAGTCTGCCCTGTCCCCCACCTCTCAGCCACCTGGCTCCCCCAGTGGAGCGGCCCCGGGTCACTGTCTCAGCCCTCAGATCCTGCTTGCTGGGGTCAGTGGGCCTCCAGCTGCTCCACCCCGACTCCTGCTCCCACCCCCACAGATGCAGCACACCCGTCAGTGTTAACAGAGCAATAGCCCCGGCTGCCGCGCCTCTGTGGGCTGAGTGCTGCCTGCAAACCAAGGGGCCGCTGGCTTGATTCCTGGTCTGGGGCACATGCCTGGGTGTCGGGCCAGGTCCCAGTGGGGGGCACATGGGCGGCAGCCACACAGTGGTGTTTCTCGCTCGTTCTTTCTCCCTTCCTTCCCCTCTCTAAAGATGAATAGATAAAATCTTTTAAAAAGAGAGTAATACAGAGTGGGGTGTCCTCTGCTCTGATTCCCCAGAAGTCTTGCCCATCGCCTAGGGCTCTGGTCAACACAAGGAGCCCACCACGGCCGCCTTGACGTCACCAGCTCCCCCACTGGGTTCTTTCCTGTCCCAGTCAGTACAGGGTCCTGCGTGGCATTTGGCCCCCTCCCATCTGGGACGGTCCTTCTGTCCCTCCATGTCCCCAGCTCGGTTCTGCAGAGAGCCCTTGTGACATGAGTCAGGACTACCAGTTTTAGGGAGGGGACTGCACATGATCACAGCACATTCCCTCAGGGTCCCTCACGTCTAAGTGACATCACATGACCTGGACCATGATGGCCTGGGGGTGGTGTGTTTCTCCCTCGGTCACTGTGCAGCCCCCACCTCAGGGAAGGCTGAAGCTGCACCGGGGCACCTGCTGGCACAATGAGGCAGGAGGCTCAGGGCTGGTGGCGGCGGCGCACAGCCGCTTCCTCCTGGGGCGCTGCCCGCTGACGGCAGCGTCTGTGTGTCTGTCCCGGACGCCCCCGCAGGCCCTCAGCAGAGTTAGTCTCACCGATCACAGTGCCATGTCGGGTTTGTCCCCAATGCCCCGTGTGAGGCCGTGGCCTTCGAGTTTCAGGGACATGACCTGCCACCTGGGGGTGGGAGCACAGTGTCTCCACCTCTCCCCCGCCAGTGGGAATGCAGGTCACGTCCACTGTGCAGTGTGACGTTTGCCCCTGTGCGCCCTGACCATGTCTCCAGGTGGGGTCAGGCCAGGCCGTGGGAGACCGACTGTCTCCAAACTCATGCAGCCGAGTGTGCCCCAGGGCACCACACGGGGGTGCTGTTGGCTCCGGTGCTGCCAGCCCCTTAAAATGTCTGAGCGAATGGGTAAAAAAAAGGTGGCGCCTCCTGGTCACCTGCCCTGCGTTTCCTGGTCTTCCCATGCACCTGGAGTACCTGGTCCTCTCCTGTGAGTGCTCCCCGTCTGCATCTTTGGGCTGTTTTTCCTCCGGATTTCAGGGGCCTTTCGTCTCCATTTCCAAACAAACCTCCGTCCCTGCCCCAGGGTGAAGAGTGCATTCGCATCCTAATGAGGACCGAAGGGGAGAGCTTACCGCTGATGGAGACCAGTCCTCCCGAGGTGCGTCTCTGCTCACACGCTCCTAGGCTTGGCCCCTCCCACTCTCCCCAGCCCAGCCCAGCCCGGCCCTGACCCATGCCTCCCTCCTACAGACCGACCAGCCGGACTACATCCTCGTGGCCGACTATCGCACCCAGCGAAACCCCAGGACGGTCCACAAGCAGCGGCAGTTCCTGGAGGAACTGAAAAGAAAAGGCTTCCAATACAAGGTGGGCTGGCCCAGCGGGCAGGGGTTGTGGGGGCCCGGTGGGTCCTGAGAGGGGTCTGGAGAGGCTGCCCATGATCTTGGGCCTGGGGTAAAAGGGCCAGGTAGTGGCCATGCATGGAGGGTGGAAGGGTCCCCAGGTAGAATAGAGTGTCCTGTGTGGCCGTGCCCAGGTGAAGAAGGACCAGGAGAAGGTGTTCTTTGCGATCAAAGCCGACAACAGGGTCTTCAGCCTGTACCGCACACTCCTCATGGAGCCTGAGGGGCCAGCGCCCAAAGCGGAGCCAACCTGGCCAACGCACGTCCCGGCCACTACCAGGTGAGGGGCCGGCCCAGAGCCGGGCCAGGAGGATCCCTGCCCACCACACGCATGCCCGGCCCAGGCAGGAGGGGCTCCCAAGGATGGCCTCTGGGCTCTGGGCCGCAGTTCCGCCCCTGTGAAAAGGGCTGATGAGAGTTCTTTTGAAGTTAAAGTGACCCAGGGCCGCTCTGTCTGGAAGTGACATGGGACTTGCAGGGTGGGCAGATTTTGGTGAGGCTCTGAGAGAGACCCTCACAAGCATCCCTCCTGGCTTTGAGCCCAGATGCAGTCCACACCTCTCCACTCCAGACCCAATGACCCCCCCCAGCCACCTGCCCCCACCTCCCAGGAACCCTCCTCCTCCTCTCTCTCCCAGCACCTGCTCCCCGCCCTGACCCTGCAGTCTCGCAAGCTGGTCCACCTGCCTTCCCCACATCCCTCCTCCATCACCTGCCTGGCTCAGCCCAGGCCCTCCCGAGCTCAGCGGGGCACTGTCAGTGGAAATTGGCAAAGGACCCTCCCGGCATGTGCACTGGAGGCCGTGGAGAGGGCTGCTGGGGGTCTTGGAGAGGAGCAAAGGGAGGAAAGGAGGAGAGGCAGCTTGGTGGGGCCTGGGAGGACCCGTGGTGGTGAGTGCCCTGGGATGTCCAGGGGACCATGTCTCACAGAAGGGTGCTCAGGAACAGCGTGGCTCTGCAGTGAGATGATGCTCTGTCCTGCCGCTTCCTAGCTGTGTGGCCCCAGGAAAATTACTCAACCTTTCTGAGCCTTAGTCTCCATACAGGCAAAAGAGCTCCTGGGGATGTACAGAGGATTCATGTACACACACACACACGCACACACAGCCCTGGCTAGTGTGGCTCAGAGGACTGAGTTACCAGCCCATGAGCCAAATGGTCACTGGTTCAATTCCCAGTCAGGGCACATGCCTGGGTTGCAGGCCAGGCCCCCAGTAGGGGGCGCATGAAAGGCAACCACACACTGATGTTTCCCTCCCTCTCTTTTTCCCTTCATCTCTAAAAATAAATAAATAAAATCTTAAATAAGAGAGAGAAGAGAGGATTCACATTCTTAAAGGCACAGGGCGTGCTCTGGGTGTGCGGAGGCTCCAGGCCTGTGATTGGCAGTGGGGTGGTCAGGCCGGGCTTCTGGGGCCCTGGGGGGGGGGCTGCTCCTGAGGGGCCTCTGTCCTGGAGCCACCAGGCAGCTGTACCCGGGGGGACCCAAGGAGGTCAAGGGAGGGCTCCTAGATGAGCCCTGGGTCTGGGTCTGGTCTGGCAGTGAGGCAGGTAGGCTGGGGGCTCTGCCAGCAGGTATGGGGCTCCGTACCTGGCCAGAGAGGGGGTGGGGCCCCCTGAGGTACACGGGGGCCATCCTGAACCAGCCCTTGTGTTCCAGAATCCGAATCGTCAACTTCATCCTGAACAGCAAGACGGCGGCTGGTGGTGAGGACGGGATGGGCAGGTGGCCGGGCCAGCGGCCCGCAAGGGTGTTGAGGTGGGGAGAAGGTGGCGGGGGTACCTGAGACTCTCTGTGGCCTTAGACACGTTCGGGGACCTGATGGAGGATGGGGTCTTCGAGACCAGGTTTCCCTTGCACCAGGTAAGAGGCAGGGTGGTGGGGGCGAGCGCCTGCCCTGGGGGCGGGGCTGGAGGCCGGACAGTCACGCTGTGGGTCGCCTGTGTCCAGGGAGAGGAAGAGCTGGAGAGGAAATGGGCCCGGTGGAGAAACATGTTCCGCAAGCAGCCCGTTGATGACATCAGGTAACGCTGACCCCAACGAATCACCTGTGTCCCCCTCACAGACACACCTATACCTATAGCAAACGAGTCTGTGCGCCCACTTAAGCCGTCAATTCACTCTCTTCGCCCCCCCCACCCCCCGCCGTGGTATGCCCCACCCGGACCCTGGCCCGCAGGGTGGCCCTGAAAAGGGGCATCTGTGCCCGCAGGTACTACTTCGGTGAGAAGGTGGCCCTGTACTTCGCCTGGCTGGGCTGGTACACCTACATGCTGGTGCCGGCCGCGGTGGTCGGCCTCATCGTCTTCCTCAGCGGCTTCTCCCTGTTCAACGCCAGCCAGATCAGGTGGGAGGGGCCGGGCCCGCCTGCACCGGACAGGGGCGGGGCCAGGGTGGGCGGGGCGGGGCCAGGGTGAGCGGGGCGGGGCCAGGGTGGGCGGGGGCGGGGCCTCAGGGAAGAGCCTACCAGCGGGTCCCTGCACTCCCAGCAAGGAGATCTGTGAAGCCCACCACGTCTTCATGTGCCCGCGCGGGGACTACCGCCGCAGGTACCAGCGCCTCTCGGACACCTGCACCTTCGCTAAGGTTTGCCGCCGTGGGGGTCAGGCCGGGCCCGCTCGCCCTGCGGGAGGCCTGTCCAGGCTTGTCCCGGCCCTTGCAAAGCTGGGTGTCATCGGGTGGGGAGGTGGGGGGGGGCATGGCCAGCCCCACGTGTGCCTCTCCCCAGCTCACCCACCTCTTTGACAACGAGGGCACTGTGGTGTTTGCCATCTTCATGGCTCTGTGGGGTGAGTTTGTGTGGGCACCTGCGGGCCCAGCCCGAGCTCCAGAGCCACTCCTGCCCCCAGCACCCTGGCCGCGGCCCCAGGTGCGCCTGTGACGCCCCTCCCCACTCCCGCTGCAGCCACAGTGTTCCTGGAGCTCTGGAAGCGGCATCGAGCCCGCGTGGTCCTGCACTGGGACCTGTACGGGTGGGACGAGGACCAGGTGCGTGGGGCCGGGCGACCCAGGCAGGGGCTGTCTCTTCCCAGTGCCCTGTGTGGCCCAAACGTGGTTCTGCCAAGGCCGCCGCCCATGTCCCGCGTCTGAGCCCTGTCTGTGCCTCCCCAGGAAGAGCTGGCGCTCGAGCTCATTAACTGCCGAGACTACAAGCTCCGGACGCACCAGCACTCCTACTGGAGAAGCACCATCATCCTGGTGCTGTCCCTACTCATGGTATTCTTGGGGAGCCCGTGGCAGGTGCCCTCCGGGCCGGTGGCTGCCCTCCGAGCCCACCGTCCCGGCCGCCTGCCCACAGATCGGCCTCATGATCGGCATGGCCCACGTCCTGGTGGTGTACCGAGTCCTGGCCTCCGACATCTTCAGCAGCTCCGCCCTGCCCTTCCTGGAAGATCAGGTGACCACTGCTGTGGTGGTGACTGGAGCCCTGGTGCACTATGCGACCATCCTCATCATGACCAAGGTGGGTCGGCAGGGCAGGGCGGGCGGCGAAGCGGGGGGTCTTCCCGGGGCCCGGAGTGAGCCCTCTGGTCTCCCTGCCCACAGGTCAACAAGTTTGTGGCCCTGAAGCTTTGCGACTTTGGTGAGAGCAGGGGCCCCAAGCCCCTCCCTGGTTCCCAGGGGTACTTGGGGAGTGGATGGGGGAGGGGCGGGCCCTTCCCACCAGAGGGCAGGTGCCCCCACCTGGGAGACGGGTGAGGGCTCAGGTGTCCTTGCGTGTCAGAACCAGGGCTGACCCGGAGTGGGACTGTCATGGGGTGAGGGACAGGCGAGGGACAGCCCTCGTGTTTTTCCAGAGAAACCCAGGACCTTCTCCGAGAGAGAGAGCAAGTTCACCATCAAGTTCTTCACTCTGCAGTTCTTTGCGCACTTCTCCTCGCTGGTCTACATCGCCTTCATCCTGGGCAGGTGAGGCCGTTCTCTGCCTCGCTTCCCTTAAAAAAGGAACGCCTGCTCTTTTTAATATTCAAAGTAACGTGGGCTCAGAACAAGGGGAGACGCATTGCAGACGTGTGTGGAGGAGGCTCGCGGCTGCCCGAGTCGGCTGGGGCTTCCCCTGGGCGCTGCCTGGCCGTCGTGGGTCTGAGCAGACTTTCACACACTCACATGCTCACACCTGGGCGTGGGAGGTTCTGTCCTGTGAATAACATCGCTCCCGACACCAGAAGTGTGCTGGGGGCCGCGTCTGGGGCAGTGCGCGGGGGCCTCAGTTCCCTGTGCACCCGCCCTGAGCGTCTTTGTGGGCACTGGCGCCCACTCACCGCCGTGGTGGGCAGGCGTGCGACTTATTTCCAGTGTTGAGCTTTGCAGACGAAGCTACCAGGCTGCTGGGGTAACGCGTGTGCACACTTCCCCTCACCTTCTACACTAGCGCAGTGCACATTTTTGCTTCAATCGGTACACACTCTTGTCTTTTCTGGAGAAAATCCTTGCCCCGTCTGTTCTGTGTCTGATTAACTTTGTCGCAGCTGCTCCCAAACTCTCTCCCAGAGCTTTGAAAAGCCCTCCCCTCTCCAGTATGTCCAAAGATGTCAGGGTCGTTGTCTGGCGGCTGCCCCCCCCCCCCGCCGGGCTCTGTGAGCCCCTTCCATCTGTGGAGGACCCCAGGTTCCTCCTGAGGAGGGCAGGTGGGAATCAGATGTTCTTTGCTCATGGGGGCCTCCAAGTGGCCGCCGCTCCCTGGGGCTGGAGGTGCTGTTTGCGGCTCCCTCCCGCAGGCCCCTGCAAGGGCAGCCGTGACCGAACCTCTTCTCCTGTCCCCAGGCTTCCAAGTGCCTCTGCTGTGTATCTGGCAGGTCTTTCTTAGTGGGTTTCAGTAATCCATCCCTGCCCCGCCTGGCTGGCATTTGTCTCGGACTGTCCCCACCGCCACAACTAGGCTGGCACGCTTCTTTCACAGAGTCCTCCCCGGTGACATCCCTCGCTTGCCTCTCCCTCCTCAGACCCGCTTGCTCTGCTCCCCTCTGTGACTTTAGGCTCCAGCAAGGCCCACACTCCTGCCTCCAGCCCAGACCTCTCCCTGGCGCCAGGCTGACCGGCCTTTCGGCTAGGGCGTCCTGCAGGCACCCAGCCTTCCCCGTCCTCGTCCCCAGCCTCCCTCAGCCTCCTCCTCCCCTCGAGGCCCCGCTGCCCCTTCTGCCGGCCCCGCTGCCCTGCATCCGTGCTGCCTGTCTCCTAGGAAGGCGGCTCTGGACAGGGACGGCGCCTGTCCCTTGCTGAGTTCTGGGGACAACAGCAGGCCCGCTTGTCGGCTCACTGGGCAGGACCTCGCAGCCTCGGTCCCAGGGGCTTTTGAGCAGTTTGCATCTGGTTCCTCCTCTGCGAATCTTTTTTGGAAATTTAATCTTCTGAAGAAGCCGCCTAATTTTTGTTTTTCTTCCCATTTTTGGTCCAGCTTCTGGGAGTTTTTCTCACTTGGTTTTGCCGCCCTGCCACTGGATGTCTCACTTCTGCTCATGTCCCAAATTCAAGGTGCTCCTTCTGGCCTCGGCTGCAGCCACCAGCCTCTCCTGTCTGAGCATGAGGCTTCTTTCTCTCCCACTCTGCCACTGGTTCTGTCCCTTCCGAGACTCTTATGCTTTAAAAAAATCGTCTTTAAGATTTATTTATTTTTAGAGCAGGAAGGGAGGGAGAGAAACACCACTGTGTGCTTGCCTCTCACGCACCCCGTACTGGAGACCTGTCCTGCAACCCAGGCACTTGCCTTGACCAGGAATCGAACTGGAGACCCAGTGGTTTGCGGGCTGGCGCTCAATCCACTGAGCCACACGTGCCAGGGCGGCTTTTCATTTTTAAGGTGCCTTTTAAAAAGGTATTGTCTAGTCTTTTTTTGACTGTCCTAAATTGTTTACTAGGTGAGAATTTCACAAAGATTACTCCTCCGAGCCGTAATGGGGGACTGGGGTGCGCCGTCTCCAGGCTGCAGGGCAAGAGCCGCAGCTCCCGCACCTCGAAGGCAGCAGCCCCCACCGCTCCCTGTGCTTGGGGACCAGTCTGCTGACCCACGCAGCCTCACAGGCACCACCTCAGAGAATGTGTCCGTGGGACCGTCACCGACCCAGGAGAACGTGGGCCCCTCTGAGCCCCACAGGGTCTCCAAGCGATCGTCAGCTGGTCAGCGCCACAGTGCACAGGCTCGCCGTAGGCCGCGTGCTTAGGGACAGGGTATTTGTGGCCACCACAGCGCCCACCCGTCTGTTGGGTGGCGTGACCTTGCTTGGCTTGGTGCCCCAGCCTGCGGCTTTATTGGGCGGGTGGGGTGGGGGCCGTGCAGCGCAGAGAGCCACGGTCCTGGCGCGGGGCCGCTTCCTCCTCCGAAGCTCCCGGGGGGCCTGCGGTGTCCACCGAGGTTCGCCTGACGGCTGCAGCTGAACCTCTTCCCAGATACTTACTCTTTTTCTCCCTTTTCTCTCTGTTTTTTCTTTTTACACCTGCACAGATACCTACTGTTACAGTTCCTTTCCTACACGCTGCTCGTCTGCGCCCGGTTGCTGGTCTGTGTGGCGTCACTGCCGAGCGGCTCCCTCTCGCTGGACTCGGGCTAAAACTGCCGCGTGGTTCGCTCTGCTCCACACCTGATCCTCTGCTGCCTGGCTGTCTGTCTGCCCCTGTGCTTTCTGGTTGCCCTTCATTCTCTGCACGCCTGTCAGGTCTGGCCCACAGGCCTCTTGCTGTCACACCATCTGTGACATGGGTGCCTCTCCCCCCAGACACCTCCCCGGGAGCTGAGCACCCCCCACACCGGGCACTGGCTGGGTGGGCCTCTCGTGCCCCTGGGCTGGGACCGCCATCTCCGGGGTCCCACGCTCTCCTCCCCTCGGTCCTGGCATTCATTTGACAAAGGAAGTGAGTCTGAGGGGTTTTCCGAGTCCCCGTGAGCCTGGAGAGGCCCCGACAGCACCTGCCCCTCCAGCAGGTCCCGCCCGGCAGGGCTTCCCTTCAGGCACAGGAGCCGCCGCTGCCCCGCGGAATGGGTGCCGAGGGAGCTGCGGGAGGGGCTCTTGTTCCTTCCCAGCGGACTCTGTTCTCTTCCTTCCGGAAGTCTAGGATCCCCTCTTCCAACTGGGGGGCAGTTTAGGGCTCTTCTCCTCGTGCGGTAGGCAGCTGGGTCCTTCCCAACCCCAACCCTGTTGTGGCCACATTTCATTTTTAATCTTTTCCTTGGGTTGAAACATTCTTTCCCCTCTGCTCTGTCTTTGCAGAACTCTGGTCCTCTTGGGTTTTTTATCTTTTCTCTCACACGCCCCATCGGTCCTTGGAGTCGATAGCAGGATAGATTTCCTTCATTTTTTTTTTTTCAGTTACAGCTGACTTTTCCTTCACCTTATCTTTGTGCCTTTCTATGTGTTTTAACAACCTTCATTTCCAAGAGTTCTTTTCCCCCGTTTTCCTTGTCGCCTCCTTTTTTTGTTTTTATAGACGCAGTGTGTCCTTGAGGATATCAGTGGTTTTTCCCATTGAAGTTCACTGTTCCCAGTGGTCTGCTCCCTCGGCTTCGTCACCTGTGTCTTGGCCGGGCCCCTGTCTTCTGCCCAGCTGCGCCTGCGGGGCCCCGCTCCCCCTTCGGGGGCAGGCGAAGGGCTGACTTGCTTCTTCTGGTCATTTTAGGACCCCCACCCACTCCGAGGTCGCTCGCACGCACTCCAGCCGGCACGACAGCTGTGCTGGGTGGGGACTCTTAGCCTCCTTTACCGGTGAGGCGACCCTGTTCCAGAGGTTAAAAACCACCTCTGGGCCACCCGGTCGGCAGGTGGGCCGCCGGCCCTTCCCACGCTGTGCCTCCGTGTGAGTGGGGTCTCCCGGCAGGGGGGTGAAAGGGTGTCCAGCCGCCGCGTCATCCCAAAGGCAATGTTTCTTTCATGTTGCCGTTTTTGTCCCTGTGGTTCTTTACGGTGTCCTTTTTCGGGCTGCCCTCAAAAAGCCACCCCCTGCCCCGATCAAAAACTTGTCCAGCTGTGATGTCCTTGGGATGTGCACAGTTTCAGCATTTGCAACAGCAAGTCTTTGGGGCATGAGGCGCTCATGGAGCGGGAGGGTGGAGGAGGGGGCCGTGTCCTTGTTTCCAGATGCCCAGGCCCTGGCTGTTGGCCCCTGGGTTCTGTCTGCTTCTTTAAGATTAGTTGTGACGCCACACCGAGTGTTTGGGGCTTCACTGCCAGATGGGCCAGCGTTCCCTGCTTTTCTGGCTTGCTTTTCCCTTTTTCTTATGGGTAATTACCTGGTTTTTTATTTTAGCCAAATTTTAGGGTCATTCTGGCAGACCACACATGGACACTCTGTGGGATTTGGTTTCGGGCTGCAGGAAGCTCCCACACTGTTGTAGGGGGGCCCACGCGGGTTCATGTTCCCTGCTGCCATCACGAGCGACCCCTGCCGAGCGGCTCTGAGCAGCAGTTCGTTAGCGTGCAGGTCTGCGGGCTTCCCGGGCTCCCGTCAAGGTGCTGCGGGGCCGATTCTGTCTGGCAGCCCCGGAGAGGGCAGGGTCCTCTTCTGCTGCCTTCAGCTTCCAGGGGCCCCTTCCTGCTCCGCCCGCGAAGCCAGCGGCTTTGGGCACACCCGATGGTCCTGGATAACGGCCCCCTTTTAAGTCAGCCGATAGCAACCTTAATGCCACCTTCTGAGAGGACCCTCACAGGCTCCAGGGATGAGGACCTGGATGCCCTTAGGGGGTGGGGCATCCTTCTGTCTACCACGAAACACGGCCCGGGGCTTCCGACTGGAGAGCACGTTTTTGTTAACGTTTGTGAGTAGTTTCAGGCCTCGCCACGTGGGGCCCACAGGTGCAACTTTGTTCGTCCTTGGGCAACAACCCTGGGAGGTGTCTGCGGCCGCCTCCTGCCCTGGCTCCCACAGGCGTCCAGGGACCCTCGCGAGCCTACTCTCAGCGCCTGTCAGGTCACTTATCCAGCCTTTCCGCTGGTTTACTTTGGTTTTCTAGGGACACAGCCACATTTCTTGAAAGAATGGCTTTTTTTCTTCGTAACTTTGTAACCATTGTAAACTCTGTAACTTCTTTTCTTTGTAACTTTATACCGATGGGAACTGTGTCAAATGAGAGCTGTCACCAGCTGCAGCAGGGGTGCCTCTGGAGCCTGACTCCTGCTAGGGAAAGTGGGCGACTTGAACAGAGTAACTCCGGGCGCAGTTTCCAAGTGGGGGGCTGAGGCCCCTCCTAACAGGTCGTGTCTACAGCACGTGACCGCAGGGCTTTCTCCTGTGCACCTGTGTGCATGCGTGTGACCCATGTGGGTGTGCATCCTGTCCCCACGTCCCCTCGGCCCTCCTGCCCCCCCCCCGCCCCCAGCTGGAGGCAGGCCGCGGTGTTCAGCCTCACTGCCCTCCTAGGATCAACGGCCACCCCGGGGACTCCCTGCGCCTGGCGGGCCTGTGGAAGCTGGAGGAGGTCAGTCTGCCCTGGGTGCCCGGGCGCCTGCCCCCGAGCTGCTCCTGCTGGGCCTGACCGCTGCCCCCGCCTGCCCGCAGTGTCACCTCAGCGGCTGCATGATGGACCTGTTCGTGCAGATGGCTGTCATCATGGGTCTGAAGCAGACACTCAGCAACTGCATGGAGTACCTGGGCCCGTGAGGACGCGACGCCCCGCCCCCCCCCCGCCCCCCAGAGCCGGCGGCCCCTGAGCGCTGCCCCTGTCCCCTACCTGGTTCTTGTCTCCCCCAGGTGGCTGACTCTCAAGTACCGCTCCATGCGGGGCTGGGAGTCCGAAGACCCCGAGCTGAGGGGCTGGCAGCGCAACTACCGCCTGAACCGGGTGAACACCTTCAGCCTGTTTGACGAGTTCATGGAGATGAGTGCGTGGGGGGGGGTGCTCTGTGGGGAGGGGGCTGGGGCCTGGGGCCCGAGCTCAGGGCAGCGCCCCGCCCTCCCTGCGCAGTGATCCAGTACGGTTTCACCACCATCTTCGTGGCTGCCTTCCCGCTGGCCCCGCTGCTCGCCTTCTTCAGCAACATCGTGGAGATCCGCCTGGACGCCATCAAGATGGTCCGGCTGCAGCGGCGCCTGGTGCCCCGCAAGGCCAAGGACATTGGTCAGGGGGCCCGCGGACTGCCGTGCAGGGCGGGGTGCCCAGCCCGGGGGCATGGGCAGTGGGGGGGGGGCTGAGCCCACGCTAATCCCCGTGCCCCTACAGCCATTCCCCCAGGTCTTCCTGGATTGGAAAAGATGGGGGTGGGGCTGGGGCTGGGGGTACACTCAGGCCCCTCCCAGAAGAGGCACAGCTGGGGCTGGCACGTGCTTTGCAGGCCCCTTCCACCTGACCAGGGATCTGGCTGAATGGCCTGCAGCCCATTTTGGGGGCCCAGGCAAAGAAGTTGGACTTTGAGGACAGGGTGCTGAGGGAGGGGGCGCCCAGCAGCTGGGGCAGGACTGAGGGCAGGTGTCCTCAGCCTCCCACACCGGCCTCACTGAGAAAAGCAGGCATCAGGGATGAACAGGGAGCGGGGAGGGCGGGAGGCGTTGGCCTTGGACCAGGTCTCCCCGTCAGTGGCCTGGCCCCACAGTGGCGATGGGGTGCCCTTCCCAGAGGTGTGCTGAGGCCCTGGGACTCTCTGGGCTCCTGGCCCTGGGGCATGGGCCAGTGGAGGTGGGGTGGGCTGCATCCAAGTTCTGGGTCGGGGAACCAGACCATCCTACTACTGTGGCCCAGGGACCTGGCTGCAGGTGCTGGAGACCATCGGCGTGCTGGCGGTCATTGCCAATGGGATGGTCATCGCCTTCACCTCTGAGTTCATCCCCCGAGTGGTGTACAAGTACCGCTACGGGCCATGCCAGCAGGACGCCTCACCCTCAGTCGAGTATGGGCTGCCACACAGCCCTGGGGGGCCTCAGACTGTCCAGAGACCCGTGGAGACCTGGCCCAACCACAGCAAGGGGTGCCCATGGAAGGGTGCAGGCTGCCAGTCATGGCCCCCACACTGACCTGCAGACCCTGGGCTGGAGCCCGGGGTGCTCACTGGGACCCCAGTGTTGGGAGCAGGGGCAGAATGAGCTGTGTTCTGAGCAGGCCCTGAGCACCTGCCTGCCAAAGTCAGAGCCTGGGTGGCCTGCTCGGGCACTAGAGGGCAGAGCAGTGTCCTCGTCCAGCTCATCCAGCCTTCGAGGGGTCCCACCCTGAGGTTCCCCTCAGCCCGTGGAGGTGGCTGGTGGCATCTCCGAGCCCCTTCAGCCCCCCAGTGGCCCCTCTCCCACACAGGGGATGGAGGAGGGGGTCTGCACTGTGCCCCACCCTGACCGATGGCCCACCAGACAGGAATCAGCTCTAGGGAGGCACCCAGAGGCCTGAAAGGGCCGCGCCTGCAGCCCCCTTTCCCCCTGCCCCAGCTGCCTCACTGGCTACGTCAACTACAGCCTGGCGGTGTTCTACACCAAGCACTTCAAGACCCCAGTCATGACAGAAGGCTCTGAGAACATCACCCAGTGCAGGTTTGGGCCCCCCCCCCCCGCCACCCTGCCCCCTGTACACCATGAGTGCCCTCTGAACTCCTGACCCCTGACCTTAGGTCCTTCCCCGCCCCAGGTACCGGGACTACCGCAATGCCCAGGACAACAACCTGTCAGAACAGTTCTGGTTCCTCCTGGGCATCCGCTTGGCCTTCCTCATCCTCTTTGAGGTGAGCCAGAACTGGGGGGCCCCCTCCCTGGGCCCCGTCCCCTCTGCGCAGCCTCCCCAACTCAGTCTCTGCCCTGCTCTCCCAGCACGTGGCACTGTGCATTAAGCTCGTGGCCGCCTGGTTTGTGCCTGATGTGCCTCAGTCGGTGACGAACAAGGTTCTGGAAGAAAAGTACCGGATGCTGCGGGAGAAGATGTGGCGTGGAGGGCTAAGGCAGCCAAGCGAGCCAGGCCTAAGTCCTGGGGCCCCCCCTGTGTGTAACTCCACTCCTACTTCCAGCCCGAGTGCCAAGAGCACCGAGGTATAAGGGCCCCCGAGGCGTTCGCTGGGCACGAGGAGAGAGACTCAGAGCTGCCACCGCCACCCCTGCCCATGGCTGTGTGTGGGGCTGTAAGAAGGCTTGTGTATATGTGGGTGTGTATGCAGGGGTGTCCCAGGAGACCTGTGTGTGTCTGGGGCACCAGTGAGTGGCACCCTCATCTGTCCCATCTGCTGGGCTCAGGCTTGCACAGCCCTGACCCGAACTCTGGAGGACCACCCGTACAAGAGCGAGGGCTGCAGCCACCACCTCCCAACACAGGAAAACCGGCCTTTCCTCAGCCTCCCTCTGACTTCTGGGCCCGCCCTCCCCACCTGAGTCCTGGCTGGTCAGACAGCCCTGACCACCTCTGCCCTGCCCCCCTTCCAGCCGAACTTTTGATAATAAAATAAAAACTTCTTTGTGTCTCCTGGTGGGTTGTGTCCGCTCTTGGGGCTAGATGGGAAACTGAGGCCCAGATGGGGAAAGGTCTGAGTGTGGCAGCCTCCTGGCCTTCCACCTGCCGGTCCCCATGGGCTTCTGAGGGAGGGGCGTCTTACTGAGGCCCTACCATCCCTGCACCTGGGGTTTCGGGACTGGAGTCAAGGCAGGCTTCCTGGAAGAAGAAGAAGAGCTGGGGAGGAAGAGTAGAACCACTGAAGGTGCCCCTGGGGATGGATGGCCCTCCTGGGACCCCTCCTGGGGATCCAAGACTCTCAGGGCTCTGGCCTCGCCACAGGTCTGGTCTGGCGCTCGCCACTGGGGAGCTGAGCCGCCTGACTGTCTTCGGCGCCAGCCTTGGGCGCAAAGCGGGACACTTGGGTCCGCCCTCGGCCCTGGGTGTTGGGCGGGGCTGCACCTGTTGCCGCCGCTGGGGCTGTAGCCGCTGCGCACCTGCCCCAGGTGAGCCGCCCCGCCCCTGCGGTCGCCTGCGCGGCCGCTTCCTGGCAGCAGATGAGCGGCAGTCACGGTTCAGAGCCACCCGGGTGAGTGGAGTTCGTGGAGTTCCAGAAGTCAGGTCCGGGCCTGCTGCTTGCGGGACCGGGCACCGCTTGCCCCAGGAGCCTCTGCGCGGCGCGGTCCCGCAGGAAGTAGCTCGGAGACCGCCGGGCTGCCCGAGTCGCCCGGAAGCCCGAGCCGTAGCTTACCCGCCTCTCGGGCCTCCCAGCGGGACGCAAGCAGCGGCTTCCTCGTGACCTTTGCGCAGGAGAGGGAGGAGGAGAACGGGTCGCGCTGGGACACCTACCAGCGCCCCAATCCCAGATCCTAGACCAGAGGCCTCCCAGGGCTGGGGGAACGACCCGAGAAAAGTGCCGGGGCCATGGCGCGCGGGTCGCCAGGCAGAGCTGCCGCCATCTGCGCGCTCCAAGCCGCCGCCGGCGCGTGCCCGCTGTCCGTGCGCGCCCCCGGCCGCCTGAGCGGTGCACCTGGATGGAGGGGGTACTAGGTCCGGTCCACCCCAGGGAAGGCAGATTGCGGGGTGTGGGGCGTGTGGCGGGAGAGCTGGGTATCATGGGCTTGAGAGGGCAGGACGAGCCCCTGGGCCTGCGAGGCCACAGCTTCCTACGCACGTTCATTCAGGAGAGACGCCCCGGGGGCGCAGCACCGCTCAAGGTGCCGAGTGGCCGCGCGTCCTGGATGACACAGAGACGCTAGGAAGCTATGGGGTGCTGAGCCGCAAAGCCGGCAGCTGGGCAGGGGCCGGACCATTCCTGAGGCTGGGGTAGCAGCCCCATGGCGCAGGCCCCAGAGCGAAGGAGCGGGGGCTTTCCGATAACCGCGGGTGTGGGGCTGAAAGTGCTGGGTGGCGCTGCGGCCGGGCCTGGATTCAGAAATGCTGTTGGAAGGAGAGCCTGTGGCCATGTGGGTGCTTCTTCTGCTCCCCTGAAAGGCGAGGGTAGACCGTAGCCGAGGAGGGGGCATACAGGCACACCTGGGCGCTGGTGGCACAGTTGCGGACAGACTGGCAGATGCTTTGAGAGGCAGCAAAGCTGGTGGGGGACACGGAAAGCTCCACTCTGCTTCCTGCCCAGGCTCCTGGGCCAGTCACTGGAGGGCCACCACGAGGTTGGCAGGGCTGGGGCCAGATGAAGGGTGTTGTAAAGCTGATACTGTGCCAAAGGTGCCCCGCTGCTGGCCCCTGTGGGGGGGGTTGCGGCAGGGGCCCTTTTCTATGGACATCAGTGCCAGCCAGCTTTTGCTGGACCTCCGAGTCCTAGGTCAGTTTGGGGGCGGAGTCAGCAGTGACAACTGGAAAAACTGGTGCCCCCCCCCCCCCCCCCCCCCCCGGCTGCTGGGCTCAGAGCCTCTACAGCCAGGCCCCTGTTTACTTCCTTTCCTGGAAAAGGGGCACTGTCCTCACACCCCAGCCTGAAACCAAGGTGCACACTGACACCACAGCCCACCTGTAACTGCTCACCGTTTGGGGACTACACCCTGGAGGTGGTCAGAGGGGGGACCAAAGAGCCTGATCAAGGGCCTATTATTGGTAGGAGTTTCCATAGCCCCCCCTCCAGGAGGTCAGAGGTTAGACACATGGGCCTGCTCACTTTGATGGGGGGGGGTGGTTGGGAGGACATGGAGATTCCCCTGCTTCCCTGGTGTGGCATCGTGGGGGGTCCCCAGGAAGCAGGCCACCCTGCCCAGCTGGCCCTTCCCCAAGTGTGCAGGGTGGCCCCGACCGGGGGTCTCCTTGCCAGAGCCCCTCACCTCGCCCTAGGCCCCAGCCTCTGCAACCTCCCCCACACCTCAGGCCTGGCCTCAGGAAGTGCAGCCCCGGTGGGCTGGGGCGGGCCCAGAGGAAGGAGCCCTTGACTCAGAGCTACAGGAAGAGCAGGGGCAGGCGGGGCTGTGAGAACCGCGACTGCCCGCCTGCCTGGAGGGGTGGGTGCCGGGTGGGGTTTCGGTTCAGGAGAGGATGTGACCGAGAGGCCAGGAAGCTTCGGAAAAGTCCCGATCAAACGCGAACAAAGCCAGGTCCTCACCCGTTTGGCAGCGGGTCCAGGGCAGCCTCGGGGCTTCGGGCTGGGCCAGGGGCCCTGCTGGGCAGAATTTGCCCCCAAGCACAGGTCAATGACCTCTATGACTGCACCCCCCGCCCGAGAAACGAGCCGGAACCAGGTGACTCGGCGTCCTCCCACGGCGGCCCGCTGCTCAGTGTGGGCCTGAACCCTCCTCCTCTCCTGCCTGCCTGCCCAGGCCAGGCAGAGGGGGGGCCACAGCATGTGCAGCAGCTAGCACGCCTGTGACAGTGAGGGACGACAGGAGGTGGGTGTGTGGCTCCTGGTGTGTGTGGGGTTGTGCCCCGGCAGGAGGTGTTCCAAGCGTGTGCCGTGCGTGCCGCACGTGTGTGCGTGTGCTGTGTGAACCAGAGTGCTGCGGTGTGTGGGGAGGGGCTGTGTGTGTAGGGGTGGGTGTGCCACCAGAGACGGCAGGGGAGGGGTGTGCAGCGGGAGGCCACCTCCTGGCCCCGTGAGGGTGCCGGAGGGTGTGCGCCCACTCTCCCACCCTGGCCATCACGGTGGCCCTGGGGCAGGTGAAGGTCCACCCAGGACCCCTCCCAGGCCTCAAAGCAGCGTTGTCTGGGGCTCTTCTGTCACCCAAGGGGCAGCAGGTGCTGTTTGCGGCCAAAGTTACATGTTAACTCATCCTGTTCTTGTTTAACTCGCTCTCTGGGGATGGCGGCAGCCTCTGACTCATCCTGGCGCCCTGACTGACCTGCTGAGAAGACAGAGAGGGCATCCTGCCCAGCCCTCGGGGTCCCGTCTGCTCAGCTGAGGAGCCCACCCAGCCAGGGGTAGCACCGTGTCAGACTATGGCAGGTAGACTGGTCGGGGCGGGGGCGTACAAGCCCCACTCTCACCTCCTGCACCTCACTGGCTCCTGGCTGCCATGTAGCCCGAGCTCTGCTCACCTTCCTTCAGGCTGGTGGGGGTGGGTGCAGTCCGGCGCGGGGCAGGGAGAGGTGGGTGGCTGGGGAACCGCACCACAAGATGAGGCTGTCTTCTCTGACTCCTGCTAGTGCTCCTCAGCCTGGTTCGAAAATGAGAAAGTTCCGGTCTCAGGGAGGTGGGAAGGTTCGCCCGTGGTCAGCTCCTATCCCAGGTGGAAGGTGCCCACACTCACAGCAGCTCCCCCAGGAGGGGGCAGGGCTGAGGCTGCAGTGCCTGGCCCTTGACCTGGAGCTCTTATCCTGGGTTGACGAGCAGCCAGATGCTGGGCCCTGTCCTCCATGGGACCCTGGGACAGACGCAATGTGGCCCCAAGCAACACATGCCTCTGGCCAGCCCGTTCTTCCTGCCCACTGACCTTCTGCGGGGAGTGGGAGCCAGGTGCCCTGAGCGCGGCTAACCTGCCGGGTCCTATTTCTGCAGATGTCTGCAGCAGGCCCCCCGACTTCCTCTCCCCTTCTGGAGACCAGACACTGGCACCAGCCCTGGGCAGTGTGGTCACTCTGAACTGCACGGCCTGGGTGGTCTCTTCACCCCACTGTCCTCTGCCCTCAGTCCAGTGGCTGAAAGATGGGCTGCTGCTGGGCAATGGCAGCCACCACGGCCTTCACGAGGACTCCTGGTAAGAGACTCCTGACACCTGCACGGCAGGTGGCCTTTCTGACCCACACCCTGGTCTGTAACCACCTGGACATGGGCTGGGGAGTGACTTCCCAGATGTGACACGGCAGAATGCCACTCTGGACACAGACCGAGAGTCAGTGACCGCAGGGACAGATGGCCCTTGCAGACATTCTCCATACACCAGGGCCACGGGTGCCAGCACTGTCCTGAGGCCTGAATGAGGTGGGGGCCATTGGTCCCCGAGGGCCCCGGGACCCAGACGCAGACCCAGGATCAGGGTGACTGTCACTAAACAGACCCGCCCTCCAAAGGTTCTGCCACCTCTCTCGGCTTATGGCCCGAGGGGGCGCAGGAGGCCCCAGCGGCAGCCTCTCGGAGTGAATCCCAGGCAGTTGGGGCTCTGGGGTGGCCACCGATGCTCTTGGGCCCCAGGTGAGAGAGTGGGGCCTGGTCTGCCCAGGGTCAAGGCCAACTCGTCTGAGGTGCTTGTATCCAGTGTCCTGGGGGTCAACCTCACCGGTGCTGAGGACTACGGGGCCTTCACCTGCTCCGTCTGGAATGTCAGCTCCTCCTCCTTCACTCTCTGGAGAGCTGGTGAGGGGGATACAGGGGGACAGGTAGGAGGGGGTCGAGGAGCCTGGGGGCTGGAGGGGCTGGATGAGGGCTGCAGTGGCTCAGGCTGCCGCTCTGTACCCAGGCCCCGCAGGCCACCTGGCGGCCGTGCTAGCCTCGCTGCTGGTCCTGCTGGCCCTGCTTCTGGCGGCCCTGCTCTACGTGAAGTGCCGGCTCAATGTGCAGCTCTGGTACCAAGACAACTACGGGGAAGTGGAGATGAACGGTAGGCAAGGCCTCCCCAGGCTCCCTCCGGGTAGGGGTTGCCCCCAGCAAGTGGAGGGGCTCTGGAGGTGGGGAATAAGGACGCATCAGCCCCGCAGGGCTTCTGTGAGCATACATTCCAGGAGAGACGGAAGCATGCAGCCCAGAAGGACGGAGGGTCGACAGAAGGGGCCAGGCTAAGAATCCTGTATTGGGGAGGGGTCGTGGGCGGGGTATGGGTCTGGGGTGTGGGCCTCGGTCCTGTGCGCATGTGGGTGAAGGGTGAAGGGGCCCTAATGGACGGCACCTGGAAGTGGCGGCCGGGCCTGGGAAGGGCTGCGCTGACCCGCCGCCATCTGCAGACGGGAAGCTCTACGATGCCTACGTCTCCTACGGCGACAGCCCCGAAGATCGAAAGTTCGTGAACTTCATCCTAAAGCCGCAGCTGGAGCGGCAACGGGGCTACAAGCTCTTCCTTGACGACCGCGACCTCCTGCCGCGGGCAGGTACAGCGGCACTCGGTTCCGGGGCCCCGCCCCCACGCTGGGCCCCGCCCCTTTCGATATCTGATCCCGCCCCTCTTCGACCCCTGGCCCCGCCCCTCGGCCTGGCCCCGCCCCCGGCCCTGGCCTCTCCTCTCCTTGGGTCCCACCCTCTCTCGCCTTGGACCCTGACCCCCGGGGCCCCAGCCTACCGGCTCTTCGCAGAGCCTTCCGCCGACCTCCTGGTGAACCTGAGCCGCTGCCGACGCCTCATCGTGGTGCTGTCGGACGCCTTCCTGGGGCGGGCCTGGTGCAGCCACAGTTTCCGGTGGGTGCGGCGCAGGGCTGTGGGGGCGGGACCCAACAGCGACGAGCTGACGGTCCCGCCCTCGCAGGGAGGGCCTGTGCCGGCTGCTGGAGCTCACGCGCAGGCCCATCTTCATCACCTTCGAGGGTCAGCGGCGCGACCCCGAGCATCCTGCGCTGCTCCTGCTGCGCCAGCACCGCCACCTGGTGACCCTGCTGCGCTGGAGGCCCGGCTCCGTGGTGCGGGGGGTGGTGCGGAGGGTGGTGCGGGCTCCGGGGTGGGTGGAGTTCCCTGGCGCGCTGCCCGAGCAGCCTCCTTGAGACTCCCGGCCGGACCCAGTGCAGGCGCTCCCTGGCGTGTTGTTTCTTTGGGGCCAGGGCTTTCTGCGTGCGCCTTCCCTACGTGTTCACACGCGCTCAGTGCCCCACCTTGGCCCCCAGACGCCTTCCTCCGATTTTTGGAAAGAGCTACAGCTGGCGCTGCCACGGAAGGTACAATACCAAACGAGGGAGGGAGACCCGCAGACTCGGCTGCAGGATGACAAGGACCCCATGCTGATTGTGCGCGGCCATGTTTCAGAGGGTCGGACCGTGGACCCGGAGTTGGACCTCGACCCCGAGGGGGACCTGGGTATGTGCACCCAGCCCCACTCCGGACCCTGAGGAACTCTGCCTGGGATTGAAGGGGGGCTCACAGCTTTGAGGAGTTCTGAAAGGGGTTCAGGTGGCCGGGACTCCTCCCTGCAGGCTGTGGATGGGCTTGGAGCCCCCCAGAACCCCTCACCACACAGCTTCCCCAGAGGCGCTTGGGCCTAAGGTGTGCCCAGAGCTTCTGGGTTCTCAGATGTTACCTCCCAGGAGGGTGAGCAGGGAGGGAGCTCGGCTCAGGCCTGGCGGTGTCCCCTCCACAGGTGTCCGAGGCCCTGTCTTTGGGGAGCCACCAGCTCCACCACTGCATGCAAGTGGGGTCTCGCCAGGAGAGGCCCGGGGCTGTGAGGTGGACATCTCTGACCTTGGCTCCCGCAACTACAGCGCCCGCACGGACTTCTACTGCCTGGTGTCTGAGGAGGACATGTAGGTGGCCCCTCACCTCCAATGGTGTCACAGGGTGCCAGGGACAGCTGGGAGTGGGACCTTGAGCCCTGCCTACCTGTGGCCCTGGGACCTGTCCTTTTGCCAGAAAAATAAAGTCTTTTTGGACCCTGCTGGGGCCGCATCCTGTCCTCTCCTGGGGCAGGAAGGGGGCACTCAGTGTCCTGGGCTAGGCACCCCTCACTCCCATCTCAGGTTCCTCAGGGCCATCGACCCCTCCCTTGTTTCACACTGACGGCCACTCCATCCCCACCTCCATCCGCCTCCATGCTGAGCCAGCTTAGACAGGTCTCTGGCATGGCCTCCTTGGGTCCCTCTGCGAGGTGGGGTGGCTGGGGGAACTGTGGCTGTCCCCAGACCCCTCTGACCTAGACAGATGCTGTGGAGTCAACCCCCTTAAAGACTCCAGGTTCTGAGCTTTGCAAAGGAAGCCCTTTGTTGTGAAAAGATCAGTGGGAGCTTCACAGCCAAAGGGCCTGGCTCAATTCGAGGGGGGAGGGGCCCCAGAACCTGCTGGGGCCCAAGCCTCAGATGGACAGCAGGACAATCCCCAGTCAGGCACCCCCAGGGGGCAGGGCACGGAGAAGTGTTAGGGGCCTTTGTCTCATAATCAGGACAGCACCAAAGTCAGGAGTGGTCACTGCTCTATGCCTCAAGTCCCCAGCTCTGCTGCGTCTGGGCCTCAGGTGGCACTGAGGCCACTGCCTGGTGCCCTGCCTCTGGTGCTCCTGGCCTGCTGTCTTCATCGGACAACCCCCAACCCCAACCTGACAGGCTGGTGGGTAAGCCCAGAGGACAGCATGGTTATGCTTGGGGACACGAATACCCAGGGGTCAGAGTGGCCAAAAAACACGCAGGACTGTTTCTGCTGTCATCAAGACCACCTTTATTTACTCCCAGCTCTGGCTGTCCCAATGCACTGCTGGGCCCTGCCAGACCCACCTTGCCCCACCTCCGCCATGGTCACGCCCACACACCAGAGCAGCCTGAAGCCCTGCCCCACTCCCTGTCCTACAGAAGCCAAGTCCCCAGCTGGAAGCCCTCCCCCCCCATCTCCTCCCTGGTGGCCCAGGCCTTTCCAAGTTGCACACGGGGCGGCAGCAAGTGGCCCCTGGGCCGTCAGCCTTCTCCACCAGGCCGGCTGGCAGGTGGCGCGGAGCTGAGCCCGTCCCTCGGAGGCTGGGCCAAGGTGTGTCCTCCTCCTCCAGGAAGGCCTTGCCTATGGGCCCAGGAAGTCCTCCTTCCGATAACCCTTCTGCAGTTGGGAGCAAGGGGGTGAGTGAGAGGGTGCAAGCCACCCTGCATTCCGCCCACCTCCCGGGGGTGCTGATGTGGGCCCCTCTCCCTGGGTCTCCAGCTCCACCCCGGTCTGCAAGTCCTCCCACATGCTGCCCCGGCCCCAGCGCCGTGGCCCAGCCTGCTGCCCTCGCCGCTGGAACATACCGCCCGGAAGTCCCGGTGGAGCTTATTGTACTGCCACAGATTGGCCAAAAGGCTGGAGGCTGCCCTGGAAGACTTCTCACTGTCAGGGCTGGAGAAGGAGGGTAGGGGTCAGCAGGGGGCAGGCAAAGCCAGAAGGCAGGCAGGGCGGCAGGGAGGCCTCACCTGTCCCGCTTCTTCTTGATGAAGACCAGCTTCCGGAGCCCGTCAAAGTACAGCAGGTCTCGGGCCGCGATGGGACTGGCCACCACCAGGTTGTTGAGTATGGCAATGATGTTCACCAGCACGTCGGCCGGAGGGGACTTCTCACCCACGCTGCCTGGAAGCTTCTCAATCAGGTGGCTCACCACCTTGGTGGCTGAGGGAGGCCAGGCAGTCAGTGTTGGCCCCACTCCCAGCCCCAGAGAGCTGGCGAGAAGCCAGCCCGGCAGCAACACGGACCAGGTCCAGGGGAGAGCCCCTCAGGCGAGGGCGGGGCCCCACACCGCCCGCTGACTCACACATCTCGTCCTTGTTCCTGGCGTTCCGGGACAGGTTCCGGATGAGGCCGGTCAGCGAGCGCAGCTGGTTGTGGTCAGCCGTGCGAACACGGTCCAGCAGCGGGTTCAGGATGCGCTCCTGCTCCAGAGCCAGGCGGCTGAGCACACCTGCCCACTGAAGGAGGAGGAGGGGCTGGTGAGAGCAGGTGAAGGCACCGGCACCCCCTCTGTATCCTCATGGTCCCCTGGTGGTGAAACTGAGGCGGGACAGGCTCCCATCCCTCGCGCACCCCAGCCAGGACCTCACGGAGTGCGATTCCGGTCAGGCCCGGGTCGGCGTGGGCCTCCCGGGCACCTCCACTCAGACCTAGTGCCGAGCCTGAAAGCTCACGGCCCCAAGGCCTGTCCCATCTGGGACGCTGGCCTCACTCCTGCTGCCGCTTGGACATCCTCTTTCTTGTCCCTCCTGCCCAGCTCTGAGTCCATCACTCTCCTGCCTTTTTTCCTCTCTGGTCCGTCCACGAGTTTGTGTTTGTCTGCTGTTCCTCCCCCAACAGACCGCAAACTCCCGGAGAGCAGGCTCCCATCCCCCGTGTGCCCCTCAAGTCCCCTGCAGGTGGCCAGGTGTGGGTCCCCTCAGCCTGGGCACCTGCTCTGTGGCCCCTCACCCTGCGGTCTCCGGCAGTGATGTTCTGCAGGGCCCCTGCGGCCGCCTCCGTCGTGTGCCGGTTGAGCTCACAGCGCTGCAGGAGGCGGTTGTACAGGCCCACGATCTGGGGGCTCCACAGCCACTCAAGGCCCTTAGGGTCCTTTGACACCTCGGCAAAGGTCAGTGCGTCGGCAGTGAGGGGCAGCTGGGTGGGAAGGTGCGGAGGGTCAGCCAAGGTCAGGCCAGGCTCCCTGCCCCTGCCCGCTCGGTGCCTGAGCCCACCTCTCGAAGTCGCCGGCTCTGCGGCGTGAAGCAGCCCACCACCTCGCTGGGTGGTGCCCCGGCCATGTCCCTGCGGCCCCGGCCCTCGAGACGCTGCAAGGCTGATGGCGGCATCTCGTCGTACAGGCGGTAGGACAGGTTCCTCAGCACACACACAGCATTCTCCACGCTCTGTGGTGGGCAGACTGTGGTCAGAACCAGCTGGCCCCCCCGCCCCCTCCGCACTGGTCGCCCCTCACCTTGTCCTCGCACTTTCCCACGTCCAGGGCGTGGTTGATGTAGGTGACCAGGGCGTCCACCAGCCCGTGGCATTCCCGCATCTTCTGGCGAGTGGCCTGGGAAGCTGAGCTGAGGTTCCTGTGGAAGGAGGCAAATCAGAGACACCCCTGGGGACCCCCAGGAAGATCCCACTCCCACAGGGACCTGAACTCAGGGGCTGAAGGTCCTTTGAGCCCCTCCTGCCCTGGTCCCTGCTGGCCCAGGCCCCCCCGCACAAGCATCTCATCCACACCTGGAAGCCTTCAGAGGTTATGAAGGTCAGGTCAAGCCCTGACTTAATGACACCTGAGTCTGCTGGCATCACACCTGGTCACCTCCTGCACCAGCTCCCAGCTCCCTGGCCGTCTCTGCCCTGCCATCAGGCCTCTGGGGCTCCCGTTCCTGCCCCCGGCCTGCTGCCCCCTGCCCAGCACTGCCCCCTGCGTGGCCCACCTGAGGAAGCCTGTGGCGTTGTAGAAGATCTCCGACTCGGAGGCGTTCTGCTGGATGAGGGGTGGGCCCCCGGCCCCCGAGAGCGGGCTCAGCACCAGGTCTGTGAGCTGCTCCAGCGTGTCTCGGGCCAGGCGGTCCTTCAGATGGTCGCTGGAGGACAAGTTCCACAGGATCCCTGCGGCAGGTGGGGCCAAAGCCATGGTCAGGGGCAGCCTGGCAATCCCTCCAGCTCTTCCTTGGATGCTGAGAGGAAGCCTCTAACCTCCCCCAGGGCTCACCTGTCATGCTGAGCCTCACCCGGGAGCCCACTGGGGACAGCTGGAGTGTGACCTGCAGGGCCCCAGGCTGCAGCAGACCCTGGGGACGTGGCCCTGGGCACTGGAGTGCTGCCACAGGGGCAGTCACGGGAACCGAAGGAAGCCAAGGGACAGGGTGGGCGGGCACAGAGACAGAGCAGGCGGAGGGCCAGCGTGGTGCGAGGCGGGGCGGCGGGGGCACCTGTGACGTTCTTGCGCAGCTCGTCGTCCTGCTCCCGCAGCGTCCGCAGCAGCTCGAAGATGCCGTTCTCCTCCACCAGGGCCAGCTTGTTCTCCGCGTTGTCGTAGATGAGGTTGCGCATGGCGCCCGTGGCGTGGCGCTGCACCTCCTGGTTGGCGTGGTTGAAGAGCTTCACCAGCCGGGGCACAGCCTGGAGGCTGCGGGCCTGCGGGCACAGGCACACCAGGTTGACACACCTGTGCGCACTATGCAGGCGTGCAGGTGTGTGCAGAGCTGTGCACAGAGGTATGAAGGGGTGTGAAGGGGTGTGAGGGTGTGCGTAGGTTGCGCAGGTGTGTGTGGAGGTGTACACAGAGGAGTGAATGTGTGTACAGGTGTGCAGATGTGTGCAAAGATGTGCACAGGCATGAAGGTGTGTGCAGGTTGTGCAGGTGTGCAGAGGTGTGTGGGTGTGCATGGAGATGTGCACAGAGGTATACAGATGCATGCAAAGATGTGCACAGGTGTGAAGGTGTGTGCAGGTTTTGCAGGTGTGTAGAGGTATGTAGGTGTGTACGGAGGTGTGCACAGAGGTGTGAAGGTGTGTGCAAGGTTGTTCAGCTGTGCAGAGGCATGTGGGTGTGTGTGGAGGTGTGCACAGCACTTCCTCCTGCTCCCCCCCTGCAGAGGAGGCTCTGGGCAGGGTGGAGTGTGCCCAGTCAGCTGGCGGATGGGGCGGATGGTTAGGGACCAGAGGTCAGTGAGAGTTGGGGTCAGCAGAGTGTTCACAGGGCGGTCACCTGCTTCTTGGCCGCAGCGTCGCTGTAGCACTTGTGCTGGATGTAGGCTGCTCCGAGCACCTGCAGGTTCGGGTCTGAGGCCATGAGGTACTTAACTGCCGAGGGCAAGTCAATGTCATTGAAGCTGCAGAGACAGGGGCCAAGGGTCAGGCTGACCCTGGGGATGCCTGGGGCCACGGCGGCAGCCCCCTCCCCACGCCAGGCCAAGCTCACCCACTGCTGAGCCTCTGCAGAGTGCGCTGACCGCCATAGCTGTCCAGCCCACGCATGTCTGG